AACAAAAAGTTATCGTTTAAATGACGAAAGCTGGCGAAGCATCAGGAACAAATAAGCCTAACATTTATGCAGTTTACGTGATTTTGAACATAAATATTGGAACAATGTAACTTGTTAACTATTTCTGTATATCTATTTATTTGTAGAAACATAAACCCCAGCATTCACGAAATTGAACTAAAGGATAAATCAATAATCAATCACCTACTGTAATATATATCCTCAAATCATTTCCTAAAATTTCAATGACGCTGTGTCAACACTCCCTCTGGCCAACAACAATACAAACTTCTAAATATAAAAAAAAGGAAACAACAAAAAAACATAGCCTAAAACATTACATTTGTATTTATCTGAATTTAAAATGAAACCAAGTGATACTGATTTTTTATAGGCCATAACAATGTTTTCATTATAAGAATCGTGTGTTTGATGTTTGTATAAATACAATTAATTTTGTTTTTGTAAAATGTTGAATGTTTTGTTGATAATGTAGCTACACGTTACGAGTATAATAAAATCAAAATGAAAGTATCTCCTTTTATGACTGCTTTACGAAAACCTGAGACTTACAAATATCAGTGTTGAAAGCTACGTAAAAATATATCGTTAGTTTGAAATGTTTTCCTACTTTATGACATTGCTAGGGTGAAAGTGGCCTAGTGGTTAGTGTGTGGGTCTATTGATCCAATGACCCACAATTCGCGGCCTGTTGACATAAAAAATCCCACCTCGTACCATAGGGTCAGAGGTACGTGATAAGAATGATGGTCAAATGTCACTATTAAATTAATGTAGCCTGACGTACGTGATAAGAATGATGGTCGAATGTCACTATTCGATTAATGTAGCCTGACGTACGTGATAAGAATGATGGTCGAATGTCACTATTCGATTAATGTAGCCTGACGTACGTGATAAGAATGATGGTCAAATGTCACTATTAAATTAATGTAGCCTGACGTACGTGATAAGAATGATGGTCAAATGTCACTATTCGATTAATGTAGCCTGAGATACGTAATAAGAATGATGGTCGAATGTCACTATTAAATTAATGTAGCCTAAGAATTGGTGCTTGATTCTGTTGACTAGTTGTCTTCTGTCCAGTTTATCAGATCAAAATTAAGGGCGCTTAGCGCAGATAATCCTTTTGTAGCCTTGCGCGAATATTCGAAACAAACAAACAAACAATATCCCTGGTTTACTATATTTTTTTATTGGTTAATAATATCGTGTATTTAAGACAAAATTTATTCGTTTACAATACCGTGTGGAAAATATGAAGAAAAACACACTCCAATTACTGTAATCTATTTTCGTAACAGAATAATCATTTAACATATTTCGATATATTTACTACAAATGAATACAAAATAAGTTTGTCCTTGGGGACTTACAACGAACCTGAAGTTGTCAGTTGTTATTCAGTAACTTGTGGCACTATGCTTATACAAGACTAGAATCACTAAAATTGGGAATTTCATTGTTGTTTTGGTCTCAGTCGGAATTCCTCTATTTGAGGGTGACCCGTGCCGCTTGCTTTCTCTACACAAATCTAGGGGGAGCAATAGTTTCCCCTCGATAACCTTATCCCTGCCCCACTGGTCGTACTGCTGACTGGCTGTTACTACTTTAACAAAATATTGGTAAATGAAGTCACTGGAGTAACTCGTTCTAACTGATGATAATATTATGCTCTCTTTACAGGCCTAACATTTGAACAGCCTATTTTAAACTACACTATACGACAAAAAAAAAGTTGCATGTAGCCTTAAAGATAGCGTTATGTACATGTTATCAAGAATCCGACACCAAACAGCAGAGTGCGTGTGGACTCAGACTGGTTATAATAAGTAAGTTCATCTTCGGCCATCACTTTGACATGCAAACTTAATTTTGAATGTACCCACATCTGATAAATTTTGCCATTAGATGGTAAGTAACATGGATATTTAGTGTACATGTATTTCAATAACACGAAAAACAAATCGCAACGGTATAACAGAATATATTCATGAATAACACATGGCAAGTAACATGGATATTTAATGTACAAGTACCACAAAAACATGATAAAAAATCGCAACGGCATAACAGAATATTTTCATGAATAACACACGTGACGTGTTTTTATAGTGGCTGAAAGAATAACTCTCGTTTGGCGTTGACTGACAAGAGAGGGCGTCCTCATATTCTGATATGAAAGGTCCTAAAAATAAATGTATACATTTATTGGAATTTTGAATAACACTAATCAAATTACGAAACTAAATCTAAGCCTTGAATTATTTTAAACACAACTCCATGAAAACTAAACAAAATTGTTGAAGGAGGCAATATTCAATATAAATTTAAACTTATTTACACGGAGTATTAAAGATATTTGAAAGATGAAATGCCTCGCTGAAATATTTATTCCAACCGCGACGCACAAATGATTTGAATCTCAGCCAAAATACGATTATTTTAAGCAAACAAGTAAAAATAAACGCAATTTATATCGACAAAGCTTTTGTTATTTATGTGTGTGTGCGTGTCCCCCGAGAAGTGGAACAACCTGAAAACGTTTCGGGAGATAATTTATCAAATAAATATTTGGTGATAATAAGTTGTCAATCATGATATAAAAAAAAACACTAAAACGTTTGAATAGTTTGATAAGACTCATGACTTTAAAATGTGTCGAGAAAAGTATCACCATATTGACAAAACCTTTAACTCTAGTTGTATATTAAATAATGAACAAAATTTCAACCTGTTTTTCGGGCTTAACAACGTTATTGAATTTTTCAAAAATCTTTTATCAAAATTTTTTTCTGTCATTTTAAAAGTTTAAGATTGACTAGTCCGCTGTGTGAAAAACTAGTGTGATTCTGACAAACTATAAAAGCTTAATAATTTGACACGTCCAGTTAATAACTTCATAAAAATAAGATAGATTGTGAAATAGCTCATAGTAAAGTAAAAAGGCAGCATTATTTAAATTATCTTTAGATTCATTGGGATCTCTTTCTTTCTTTCTACTTTATTTCAAAAACCACGAAATCAGTTCTTTTTTTTTGTTCACTTAAAATTGTTTATGTATCAAATTCATTTCTGATTTATTTTCAATATATTTTTTCTAATGAAATATTAAACTTTTCTGCTACCATGCATAATGCGTTCTCACCCCAAAAAGTCTGGTGCTCGAGAAATAACGTGTTCAAACTCCATGAAAGATACCTTGCCGTCATCATCGACGTCAGACTCTTCCAGAACCTTCTCGCAGGCCAAAGATACTTCTTCTGGACTCAGTTCATTTCTGGTTAGGCTTATCAAAGTCTGTTCTATGTCGTAATGCCCCAAAAACTGGTCGCCATCAAAATCTATGTTTATGATAACAATAAAAAGAAAGAGCTAAACAGGGTTACCTGTAATACTTCAATTACGTAATTATATCAAACACTCGACTCGCAATCTATGTGTCGCGGGTTCGAATCCCGTCACCGAACATGCTCGCCCTACCAGCCGTTGAAGCGCTATAATGTGATGCCCATTCCCACTATTCGTTAATAAAGTATAACACAAGAGTTGGTGGTGGGTGGTGTTGACTAGCTGCCTTCCCCCTAGTCTATCACTTCAAAATTAGGGTAGACTAGCGCAGATATCCCTCGAGTAGCTTTCCGCAAAATTAACAAACAAACAAACATCAAATATACTGTATTATTTATTTGTTGTTACTTTCATTAACAGTATGGGTTATGCTATCTGCCCCCCCCCCCACGTGGCACAGCGGTATGTCTGCGGACTTATAACACTAGAAACCGGATTTCGATACCCGTGGTGGGCAGAGCACATATAGCCCATTGTATAGCTTTGTGCTTAGTTCCAAACAAACAAACAATATGCTATCTGGTATGTTGAATGTCATTATTTTGTATTTTGACTTATTGTTTATTATTTATTATTATACTTTCACTATAAAGATTGTTTTGTAATGTTATCTTAATATATGCATTTAAGAGTAACCTAAATCTCCTAAGCTGGCCGAACCTTATGAGATATTATTAGGATTACGGCCAAAAAATATTTACCCAACTGAAACAGTGCATTATAATCTTTATAAGTAGAAACGTGAGAGAAATATATTAAATTTGCTATACTAACTGACAAAATAATTTTTCGTTTCGCTCTAAATACATAGCTTTTCTGATCAGAATTTAATATTAATTAAACAAACTATCAATAAATATATAATATGTACGTATAAAATTACTATACAACTGATGTGTTTAGTTCTTTCAAAACGTTTTGAATGCATGTAAAAGTTTATGCTATGAGCAATGAAGTTAGTGAAGTTTAGAGCATAGATTTTTGTTTTACTTTGGGCTATATTTATAGCAGAAAAGATGTAAAGTTTTGTTTGTTTGTAATTAAGCACAGAGCTACACAATGGGCTATCTGTGCTCTGCACACCACGGGTATCGAAACCCGGATTCTAGCGTTGTGCCACTGGAGGGCAAAATGTAAAGATTCAATTTTTCAACCCGCTTTTTATTCAAGTTTTATAGAGGTCGCATTGAAAAATATTCTGAAATAAATCATATTTTCAGTAACTTATTTGTTTAGGCTTAAATCTGAAGTTTGTGTTTTGATGTTAAATGCAATTTTAAAACTGTATAAATGCATAATTTTTAATTGAAAAACTTTTGTTTTGGGAATCTTGTTGGGAATCTTGTTTTTCTAGTTGCTCCTTAAACTAATAATTCATACTTACTTACGTGTGGTCCAATTAAGATACACACACATTTAAATTGATTAAACTATTATTTTCAAAATCACGAAGGTTTTGTCATAAGCAGAAATGACGAAAATGGATCATCACAGACTAGTACAAATCTATGCATAATTTACAAAATGTATTCCCAGAACCCGTTGTTTGTAATTTAAGCACAAAACTACACAATGGGCTATTTGTGCTCTGCCCACTACGGGCATCGAAACCCGGATTCTAGCGTTGAAAGTCCGCAGACATACCGCTGTGCCACTGGGGGGCGATCTAATATGAAAATGAGTGTTAAAAAATACTAGATAATCTTAAATATTTTAAACAAGGAAAACCAGCTGATACCATTTACAGGGAAAGGGTTTTATGAAAAAGTGATAAAGAAGATAAACAGGAGATGTCAAGATGATGATAAATATAATGTAATAACATTTTTATCTCTCTGTGTCCTCCCCCGGGAATCGGATTTTAAAGTAAATTTTGCTTGAAATCGGTAACAAATGTTATCATAATAAAACTTCAATTTTCATGGTTTGTTTGTTTGAAGTTAAGCACAAAGCTATACAATGGGCTATCTGAGCTCTGCCCATCACTGGTATCGAAACCCGGTTTCTAGCGTTGTGAGTCCGCAAACCTTCCGCTGTGCCACTGGGGGAGGGGGGGCTCAATTGATCCAAGGCCCGGCATGGCTAGGTGGTTAGGGCACTCGACTCGCAATCTAAGGGTTTCGGGTTCGAATCCCCGTCACACCAAACATGCTCGCCCTTTCAGCCGTGGGGGCTTATAATATT